GCACACAACTGAAATTTTAGCAAGCTAGCTCTCTATGTTTGTTCTTCTTAGTTCCACAAAAGTCTACATACATATATATGGTACATGGTCTGCTATCGTAGCTGATTTCACCTGAATACCATCATGTCATCAGTTTAGGTATAATTCCTAGCAAATAGCTTCTGAGTTGGTAAGAGGAACTTTATTCCAATTTCATCTGCACTTGCGTGCCATGCTTGGTCTTCCACAAAGACAAATTAATAAAGAAATGAAAGTGTATGTGAACTTATGGACATTTGGAATTCTTGCACAATGCAAAAGTCTTCCACTTGTTGCCAGGCCGGTCGTGAGGGGAAATCTTGACAATGAAAGAAAATTGACTCAGTCGGCCGATCGCTCTTTGAAGTTATCCTTTCTTTTGTTTTTTTAAATTCCTTCGGTGAAATAAGTTAGAACTATAGGGACTAATTTGTTGTTAAATCAGCCCAAATCGTTTGGGGTAAATGAATATCTTCTAATATCTCTGATTATCCTTAACAATTAATTTCCACAAACAAATGATAGACAAAACCATGATTATGGAATGCCGAGGGCGCACACAACAGAAATGTTAGCAAGCTAGCTCTCTATGTTTGTTCTTCTTAGTTCCACAAAAGTCTACATACATACATATATATATATATGTGGTACATGGTCTGCTATCATAGCTGATTTCATATGAATAACATCATGTCATCAGTTTAGGTATAATACCCAGCAAATTAGCTTTTCTGAGTTGGTAAGAGGAACTTCAATCCAATTTCATCTGTGCTTGCATGCGATACTTGGCCTTCCACAAAGACAAACTAATAGAGAAAAGAAAATGTATGTGGACTTAATGGACATTTGGAATTCTTGCACTATCCAAAAGTCTTCCACTAGTTGCCTAATAGGCAAGACCGGTCGTGAGGAGAAATCTTGATAATGAAAGAAAATTGACTCGGTCGGTGGATAGCTCTTTTGAAGTTGTCCTTTATTTTGTTTTTTTTTTTTTTTAATTCTTTTGGTGAAATAAATTAAAACTACGGGGACTAATTTGTTGTTATATCGGCACAAATTGTTCGGGCTTAAAACTTAGCTTGAGAAAGCTGCTTGTAATTGCAATAGTAGGTTTTTGGATCTTTTAATATTTTAAAAATATATCAAATATATTTTATATTTATTTTAATTAAAATAAAATAAAAAAATAAAACACCTATAAGTGTTGTTAAAGGAATCCTAAATCAACCCAACATGGAACATGTATCAAAAGCATTCAAATCATTGGGCAAATATCCAAATACTAAATTACGGAAATTTTTTTTTTTGAAATGAAGACTAAATTACAGAATTGACCATAAAAAATATCTCAAGAATTAAAAATAAATAAATAAATGGATATCGTTCCCTATGGTTGGAGTTTATTGTTTTTGCATAGGTATCCATTTGGTGGACTATGACTATTCTTTAGTCAAAATATAATTATAATGAATATTGAAAAGC